GAAAAGGTAAAGGTTGCAAGTATTTATTCACAGCACACTGGTAAGATGAAGATAAGTTGGCTAATGCTCGGTGCTTTATTTGGTGCTTCTCCTAGCATGTAGTTACCAGTTCTTTCTATGAATTTCTTTGTTGTTAAAATCTCTTAATCAGCATACTAAACTGTGGCTTTGATATTAAATCACATCTCCTATTGTTGAAACATATGGGTTGGTAGAATTCTTTCTTTAGTTTCCCCTTCTTCATTTTTTTGTCTTAAAAATTCTCTGCCTCATTGGCATTGAATTCCAGTTTAAGAAATTAGAATACTGAACAGAGTAATAAAATAATTGACTAAAGTGAAGTCATGTCACATTTCGTAATTGAACTGTGTTGAGGGGCTCCATATGAAACAGATTCCTGAATTAGCATGTGGCATTACAGAAAACTGGAGGTGTCCTTCATCTAAAATTTTGAATCTGGAAGAAAAGGTGGGGTGGATTTCTGAGAAAAGATGAAATGACAGAGGTATGTATTTATTAATTTTTCATCAAAATTCACTGTATTGAAGGTCTGTGGTTTGCAACACAACTTTTCAGTTGTGAGTTTGGTTTTGGACTCTTTTTTTCTTTGTGTGTTAGCACCACAAAACTAGGCTACCTTTTCCTGTTCTCAAACAAAATGTGACACAGTTAACATAATCCAGCCAACAATTTAGCTACTTGTTACTTGACTTCTCCATAGTTTTTTATTGTGGAATATCAAATCAGTTGTGAGACTGTCAGGCAAAATATCCAAGAAAATTTTTTCCTGCATTGTTAGATTTTTCCCATCCTTATAGATATTATGTTGGAATTTGTGTGATGCAGTTTGTACTGATAAAAAAAATCATGTTAAATGGTATCTGCCTTCTCTTCTTTCACAACTTTCCAGTAAAAAAAGTAAAATAATCCACTGTTCAAGTCTGACTGTAATTGGACTGTGCATGAAAATGAAACATGTCAAGGATTCCATTTATTCCCCTACAGCAGCTGCTCCTACTTTGTTTGAAGTAATTGCTTTTATTTATTAAATGACTTTCCCTGAGACTATGAACCTGTTTGTCAATAGTCACAGTTTGTTCACTGCCTGGCCCTTTCTTTAATGGTAATCTCTGATTAGTCACTCTGTTCCCAGCCTTTGGAGTTTGTTATGATCTTTTATAGAGGAAAGACATGGAGGAGGATTGCAGTTATCTGTAAATAATTAGACAGGTGGGCACTTTATGCCAGCTGTGCAAAAAAGGTTTTCAGCATACTAATCAAATGCCAAACATGAGCTAATGTGTGCCGTTGTTCTTGAACCCTGTGAGGCTGAATATGAAGAAGGATGCATTTTACTATGGCTGTAACTAATAGAGCCATAGACTGATTCCATTTTTTCTGCATGGCTATTTTATCATTAGTTTAATTTGAAAGAGAGAATAGTAAACCAATTTTTATGGTGACATAGTGTTGTTAAATGGTGAAATTTGTGAAAGACTAAGAGAAGTAGTAATAAGATTGTTAATTTTAAATTTTGTAAGAAAACAAGGAAAACAAAGTAGTTAGTTAGAAAGATTTGTTGAAATGAAAGAATATTGTATAAATCTGCTTGTTTTTGTGATTGCTTACACAGTTTTTATAAAAAAGATAGGGCTTTTATTCATCTCATTTTAGAAACAAAGTACTCCCAGAAAAGACAGTATTGAGATTTTTCTACATAATTTTCAACAAATTTTAGGGAACCAGATCTCCCCTTCTTATAAGGAAATATGAAATATTTTTCAGGAGACGCAAATTTAAGGGAATTCAGTGTATGAATCCATAAAATTTGAAAATATCAGACCCATTTCAAAAGTGGATTTTCAGAAAGAATCTATCTTTCTTAATAATTCTTCTAGCCTCGTTTCCCTTCCAGGTTATTGTACTCTATACTGTCACAGTGACGTGCTACCAGACTCTTAGTTTGACCATTCTTTATGTCTTTGCCTGTGCTTGGTAACTGCTTGGGGGCCTCTCCTGCAGGGAAAAATGTGTTTGGAAAAGAGGCTAATAAACATGAGTCCCATTTTCATGTCTTGCCCCTCTACAGTATGAGTACTTGTATGTACTTGGACAGGATGCTAAAGCTCCCTTGAGTGAAAAATAGTATAGATGTAATGTGTTAAAAAGGTGATCTCGTGTGAGATGCATTGTGTGAAGAATATATGCCACCTCAGGATATATTATGGACCTTCAAAGACAGAGAGGTTTCAGGGAGGCACAGGCCAAACAGATATGCTGAAGAAGTAGATAGTATAGTCCACCAAGGCAGATGTTAGAAGTGAAATATTTCTTGGGAGAAATTAGAGAGCACTGTTTCTGGGTCCCTGCTGAAGAGCGGAGTGAACTGCTGCTGCCACCCACCGTGAGGCTGCATGTCCACATCTTTCAGATGGGATGAGTGATAGGATTATGTCCGACTCTAGATGGAGAAGTGTGAACTTATGAATTGAGGACAACTCTCTTCAGATATGTCGCAAGAGGCTAGGACTTGGGCATCTTGTTTTACATTCAGCAAGACAGTTGGAAACAAGTAGTAACTAATTTTATTATATTAAACTATTGGATATTAGATTATTTTTGAACAGTTGTATCAAGAAGACTAAAAGTTTGTTGTTGTTTCTTTTTTTTTCCAAAAGTTTTCTAAACAACTCCTCTAGTACATGGCATTCTGGTTTCGAACGGAATAGAGTTAATTTTTTTTCTTAGTAGCTGGTGCAGTGCTGTGTTTTGGATTTAATAGGAAAAAAACTTGCACATTTAATACTGAAATGTAAAAGAATAAAAGCATCTGGGTGTGCTGATGCTATTCCTTTGTTTTGTGTGTTCAAAATAATCTGTTAGCTCTCTTCCTTTTCTATCTGAATTTATTAGAATGGTTGGTATTCTATAACAACCTGTGTTTTCTTGCTCTGGGCAGATTTGACTGTAATGACACTTTGATAATTTTCTTGTTCTCAAACAAGGCACTGCTACTGTGAAGAGGCTGCTTAGAGTAGCACCTTCAAACTCAGTCTTCACTTTTCATACATTTGGTTGTGTCTGTTGATTTCACTCATTGACTTCTTTTGTTTCTCCTATTTGCACTGTAAAGGCAACACATAAATCTTTGTTCATTCTGTTCCATTTAAGCCCATTAAAACACTTCTCTGGTTCACTGCCTTGGGCTCTCCTTTGTACTACAGCAAGGCAAGTTTTCTTTCCCATTGTAACCACTGCAGATGAGCACAGAAAGCTGAATTTTAAGGTTGAGCAGGTCCAGGGTTTTCACAGGTGTTTTGAATGATGTTTACAGAAATAGGAAAAAAAAAAATCAAGGACTTGTTTTGACCCGCAGAATCTTCCCCTGATGGCAGTGACTGTCAAGAAATATGCAGAGTTTGAGAGTGAAGTCACCTCTAAAATGCATTTTTGATTAGTACTTTCGTTCTCTCTGTCCCTCCGCTTTTTGCCTCATACATTAGTTATTCATAACCTTTGAAACTCACTCAGTTACCAAAGCACAGGTGGTAATTCATCTGCTACACATCACAGAGCGAGAGCAAGCCCCCTCTAGCGTATACCTGTTATTCTCCCATCTGAAAAGGCAGGAAAATTAAGAGAGATTATGGTAGTCCTGGAATATCTGCCTTTGCACTTCTTGAAGACTAGCCGCCAAATTTCACAAACTTTCCTGGGACATGGGTGGTATCAGTTTCAGAAATTAGTAAGGAGTCTGTAACTCATACAGTTGGCTGCTGTGATTGTTTAAAAGTAAAATGGACATAAAACCCCACTCCAACTAATAAAGCAATCTGCTTTTACTTAAAAACAGAATTGTCTGACTGCACTATGCATTTTTATTGACCAAGTAAACCAGTAGTGACTCTTTTGGCTCAAGCAAAAGTGTGAACACTGTCTCTTCCTCCCACTCCCCTGTCCACTCATCCCATAACTGAGAGGGGAACAACCAACACCAAGTCTCTACGTTTGGTCTCCAGCTCTTTTTTCCTGCAGGGGAGCTGCCGAGTTGCTCATTGAAGACCTCATGGGGCAGCTGTGCAGGAAAGGTCACATCTACCATCAAGTAGAGAGACTGTTGCCCTTAGGGTTAGAGTCATGGTCTAGAGCTGAGACAAATACAACAGAGAGCTGCTGCTTTGCCCCTGTCTTTGAAGTGCAGAAACAACTGGCTGGATTCTTTGAAATAAAAATTTTTTTTTGCATCTATAATGTTTATCTCAAGTTTTGCTGTGTCAAGAATTATTTTATTAAAAGGCTATGGGGTTTCCTTTAATTAATTAATTTATTTATTTATTGCCTTTCTTTTCTGACCATAAGTCAGCTGAGGAATTTAGTTTTCTATTAAAAAGGAGTTTTCTTGAGTCTTTAATAACTAAAGTGGAACTTCTTTAGGGAAATTTCCTTCCTGATTATGATTATATATACTTTTGTGTGTATGTTAGTAGATATACGAGGCAGATGGTAGAAGATAGTTCTGCAAACTGTGATGTTTACTTCCCACATATTCACGAATTCTTGAAGGATCTTAAATTACATGTTGTAAAGTTTGGGGGAAAATATAGAAAGCTTGTTTGATTTGCTTCTCCAGAGATGTAGAATCGCTGTCTTAACAAATATAGTCTAGCCCTGAAGTAGCAAGGTTGCCCTTACATTTCTGTCCAGGGCCCCTGGAGGTGATTGCATTGTGCAGGAACCCTCACATTACAGTAACTTCCTGTCACGTATCTTCTTCCTTAAGAAATCAATGTGTGTCAGGGGAGAGGAGGTAGGGACAGAAGGCTGTGTGCATCTTTTGTCAACCTGTAGTTTCTCAGTCTGGTTTTACAGCCTGCTGTGTGCAAATGATAATACAAGAGAGAATAGAGAAACTGGCTTCAGATTTATATATGAAATATAAATAGTTGGCTTGCAGACTTTGGTAAACATATACATAGATATGGTTGTTTCTCTGTTTTTAGGAATACACTATAGATATAATTTTTGCCCAGACTTGGTATGACAGTCGTCTAAAATTTAACAGCTCAATGAAGGTGCTTATGCTTAATAGCAATATGGTTGGAAAAATTTGGATTCCAGACACTTTCTTCAGGAACTCAAGGAAATCTGATGCTCACTGGATTACAACTCCAAATCGTTTGCTTCGAATCTGGAGTGATGGAAGAGTATTATACACTCTAAGGTGGGTTTTTATTGTCTGGGTAGAAAAAAACCAACAAACCTGTTATGACCAGGAATTGAAAATAATGAATATGAATCAAATTCCTGGCATCTCTTTTGTTATGGACTGGAATTTCACAATGAAAAACATGACATTTATAGTATTTAAATATATTGCCTATATAATTGGGTAAAGGCAATTGAAGGAGATAGCAAATTTTGATCTCACTCAAGTACAGGCGGGATTTTAAGAAAGATGTTATATAACATATAGCACTATGGTGGTCTGTCACTAATATATTGTGGATAAATCATAAATTGTTTTGCAGAATTTCTGTTCTAAATAGTTTGTTATCTAATTTCCACCAAATTATATACTATAAGTAAAATTTTAAATGCTTTGGATAATAAAAATCATAAGAAGTTCAATTAAAGCTAAGGCCCCAATCCTGCATATAATTCTCAACATGTTTTTACCCTTCCAAGCTATTAAAATCAACAGATCTGTTCATCCAAATTAGGCATAAGCAAACATGTTTGTGATAATTCTTCTTGGCAAATGGGAGATGCCTGTGCTGGGTGGTTTTAAGCGTACCATCTAGCTATCTTTACTGATCTTTGAGTCACTTTTCAAGCAGTACTTGAAAGGCTGTAGCCTACAGAAAACATTTTAGGGTCATCTCTCAGTCTAATTTTTTAAATATGCCTAAAAAATCTTGCAATAAATCAGGAGCTGATCAAGAAGTAGTCCATTCAGAGGATGCCATAAATGTGATTCTGCTCTTAAGAGTTTATTCATTTATTTATTTAAACAAAGAGTGGCATAATTTAATTACTTTCTTCTCAATCATTTGTGCTTTGTTCATATGCAGGCTAGTTGTGTTGTATGATCAATTTATAAAAGTCTTCTCTATCAGATGTAAGAAGAATTAGAATGTTTTAAAAGGATTCTCTTCGATGATTTTTTTTTTTTGTGGTATGATTCATTTGGGGGCATATAGATATCTCTGAAGGGCACATTTTAAATGGTTTATTAAGCTGATGTTTATAAAAGTCTCTAGAGAGCCTCTTCTGTTGACATGCTATGTTTTTTACTTTTTTCTAGCTGGCATTTTTAGAGTCATACTTAGACTTTATCCTTCCATTGTCTATTCAGTTTCAATGTACAATTTCTTCTAAAGAGGTTCAAAGTAACACAAAGCAATAAATAAATACAAGCAAAAAAGTCCTGTGAGCCCTCACAGAGCAATAGGTTAGAATCACTGTGTTAGAGTATGAGCTATAAAGCACAGTGAGCTCGTGACAAAACAGCTGAACAGATTTTCACCCAACACTGCAATGTGCAAACATCTGTATAGGTGAGGATGTGTCCTGAATTTTGCCTAAGGCAGAACAACACTGAGAGGTTCATATGTTGCTTATTGAAGGAACTTTAACATGATCTGACACTGCTCCAGGTTTGTGGGCGCCCCTTTTTTTCCTCATTGGTAATTCAGAGAGCAGACGTGGTGAATCTGTTAATCAGCCTTGCTGAATCTCCTCTGAGGGTAGCCCTTGGTCTGTCCATTACACCCATCAATGATTCCATATTTAGTTTTATTGCTTTTAATAGAAGGCTGGGCTTGTTTTCTTTTTGTTTGAGTGTTTGACTATCCAAAGGTTGAAAATGGAAAACAAAGGCAATAAATGCATATATCATAGTTGGCAAATTTGAAAAGCATCTTCAGAGCAATGCAAGTATTTTGCTTAGAAATGTAAGGGACACTTTTTCTTCCTCTCCCCCCACCCAGTGTATGCTAAGAAATACACTTTCCCCTATAAACCTCTTTTGGTCAGGTCCTAGTGGCACTTTCTGTAGAATAAATACTTTGTTCAGAGACTTTCAAAGATTTCTGGCAGCATGTCACAGAATCTTCCTTTTCCCATCCCTTCTTATCTAGTATGTAAGCATTATGTTAATTTTTAAGTTCATTTTAGAAGATATTCTGCATTTCTACATAGTCTTACCAACAAAGAAGGAGGTATTTTAAATGCAAAGAAGTCAGTTTGGAGTCTAGCACCTTACTTCAGCTTCCTAGTGAAAGGTAGCAAGAGCTGGGTTTTGCATTGATTGTTTGGAAGTCCTGGAGAAATCTGTGATAGTATTTTCAAAGCAGCAAGTGATTCAGTTGACACAGTCATGAGTCCTGAACCACCTCTAAAATGTTTATAAGTTGTGAATGAATGCCTTAGACATTAAATGAGTAGAAACATCAAGTCTGCTCTTTCCTGTCCATACTACTGTCTTCGCCAGAGCTGCTTCCATGAGTATAGAGCAAGCTGAAGACTGTCCCCACCTTTTTTTCTCTTGTGTATAGCCACCAGATACAGTGATGCCAAATACAATTTGACTCCACAAATGGATTCTACAGAAACTTTATTTGCTATCATAACTCCCATCCTTCCGCTGTCTTCAGACACTCCTTTTTATCCCCTGTTTCTGGTAGAGCAGCAAGCTGCCCCAGATCAATTGAAAATTTTGGAATGGCTTGAAATACGAGTTGGAACAACACAGATCCTTAGGTTGCATGTGACCATAGTTCTTATTATTTTGTTCTTTGGTGGTGATGCTGGATGTGTTTTTGTTTATACACAGTAAGCTATTCATAACATCCATTAATTGGCAAAATTTATTTCTGTTCATGTTCTTTACTATGTAGTCTGAAGTGTCTGAATGCTTGAATATAACCTTTTTTCTTTTTTTACTCCTTCCTTCTCTAACTAGGCTGACAATTAATGCTGAATGTTATCTTCAGCTTCATAATTTTCCTATGGATGAACACTCCTGTCCTCTGGAGTTTTCAAGCTGTAGGTGGTAAAACACTTTTTTCTCTTTACATTCAGGCTTTAAATTTCCTTAAATTCTGGCATCAGGAGAGCAAATATTTACTTTTTAAAGCCTTGCAATGAAGGAAAGAACTGATCCATTCATGTTTTGGTTAGATTTATTGCATTATTTAATGCAAGAATGAAGGAGTTGAATTACAAGCACTTTGTGCAACTTTAGAAATAGTCCTATTGCTTAGGAGTCTGATGCAATGCCCATTCCAGTTAATGGAAAAGCATCATACTGGAAGAACTTTATTTTTTTTACCTGCAAGATTTGATAATGTTGAATTACTTCCATGTGGTATACTTAAAAGGAAAAATAAGATCTCTCTTCTTCAACCTGCTCCTGTAAATGCTTAATTAGTATAAGAAGTCCTTCTCCTTTCAGTGAGACTTATTTTATGTGAGCAAGAAACACAACTTTCAGGCTCCGTTTTTTTGATATAAACTATATTTTAAAAAAAATCCCAAGGGAATTGTGCTATTAAAATCATAGAATCCCTAAGGTTGGATAAGACCTCCAGGATCAAGTCCAACCTTTGACCAAACACCACCATGTCAACTACACCACAGCACTAAGTACCACATCCAGTAGTTTCTTGAACGCCTCCAGGGATGGTGACTCTACTATCTCCCTGAGTGACCTGTTCCAGTGCTTAACCACCTTCTCACTGAAGAAATTCTTCCTGATACCCAACCTGAACCTCCCCTGATGCAGCTTGAGGCCATTTCCTCTTGTTCTACACTAGTTGCCTGTGAGAAGGGGCTGACCTCCACCTTGCTACAATTTCTTTTCTGGAGGTCTTACCTGAGCCATCAGTAGGAATTTTGTCAAATTACGTACTAAAAGTGTCAGTCCTTTTAAGCTCTTTCTGACCATTTAATGGTAATCTAAATTGCATTTGTGTATTAATTTATAATGATGATTCTGAGCCAAGTTTTCATATCGGAGTTCAAGAATATCATGTAGATATTTCCAAAATATTTGTATTTACATAGTTATTTATCTATCATACATTTAGCTGGGTTTAAAACTGAGGTCAGATATTTTGTTGTTAAATTTTAAGTGTATCAGGTGGACTACAGATTGTCTTTGTCTCTAATTCATTTTCTGTGTAGCCCTGGTTTAGTTTATAAGTAACTTCAGATATCACAAAACATGCTTTGGTACATTCTGTGGCTGAATGTTTGATTTGTTTTGTTTTGTTCCAGATGGATATCCCAGAAATGAAATTGAATACAAATGGAAGAAAACCTCTGTGGAAGTGGCAGATCCAAAATACTGGAGATTGTATCAGTTTGCATTTGTAGGGTTACGAAACACAACTGAAATTTCTCATACCTTGTCTGGTAAGGCAAAGTGTTAAGTTTTATTTTGTGCCAGATCTGTACAGAACAAGACTAGCAGACCAAGATACAACTGAAAACCATATTAAATATAATGTAAATATTTTTATTTTTCATTTATAGGTGATTATATTATTATGACAATCTTCTTTGATCTTAGCAGACGTATGGGATATTTTACTATTCAGACATACATTCCTTGCATACTCACAGTTGTTCTTTCATGGGTGTCATTTTGGATCAATAAGGATGCAGTTCCTGCAAGGACTTCTCTGGGTAAGAATGTCTTTTTTTCAGCCTTGAAGGGTCTGGTACTCCCCAAAAATACAAATCTGCAGCATGGAGTAAATCAGCCACAGCTTATTCCCCTTCAGATTGTTACTGTTGGTCACTCTTTTTCTTGAACTGCAAGGCTGGGAGTAGAAGAATCCTATTATGGCTGCAGAGCAGGGCTTAAGGAGGGAATGTTGAACATGGAAATCCTTATCCAAGCCCTGTGGATCTGCTGTTGTTCACATAAATATGTTTTTTCTCCTTTATGTTCTTTTTGTCACCTCCAGGGACTGCAATGTGGCAGTTATTAATCTGACAAGTATGACTTCACTTAGCATCATGGAACAAATGATGTCATTACTACAGGAGTGTAAATTGTGAAGATATGGTTTTGGTGGTTTTTTCTTTATTTTTTGTTGGTGTTTTTATGTTGTTTTTGTTGATGATGGTTTAATAATAGAAATGATTCAGTTATTCTTTTAAGCCCAGCATAGGACAGAAAATTTGCAATCAGACTTACAGTTAAGCCTATAACACATAAAAACTGACTCACTGTCCTGCTTTTACTACAGACAGTACTGAAATGTGTTGCAAGTTCCAGTATAGAGACACTTCTGTGTTCCTGTCATCTTGGCTGACCTACTTAGCATGGTGTCAGTCTTTTGAGTTTGACCATTTAGGATTCCTGTGCAGCCTTAGAGAAAAGTTTGTCCCCACATAAAGCACTATAGATGTGGTGCATGGAGTGCACAGGATGTACATTAGCAACTTTGAGTTTAGAAGTGACAGATGCATATAGTAAAACTGATGACAGCAGTATGACCTATTTTGGGAGAAAGATCAAGAGCTGAGAGTGTATCTTAGGAAGTGAGAGATGTGAGTTAATTTTTCATCATTATTATGCATTATATCATTATTCATTTAGCATTGTGAACACACCATCCACACCTTATAGGATCATTTACTACCAGAAAGGTCAGTCCAGGCTTTAACTCCCTGCTTTTGCCACTGAAAATGGACCAACTGCAAGTCTGCAAGATTAATGAGTCAAGAAAGTAAGCAGAAATGAGCATGGCTTAGTAGCCTAATGAAAAGGTAAGGGGAGAAAATCTAAGTCTTGGATCCTAACTTTGTTATTCAGAAGTGCTGCAAAGTTTAGTGAAGAGACCCCAAAGTTTTAAATAAATAAGTGAAACTAACTTTTGGTAGTTTTAGACCTTGATGTAGAAATCTCTTATCAGATTTCTTTGACTAACTAATCATTGGACATCATTGTGGGTTCTGACTAGCTAGAAGACACTAGGTATAACAGGAGAAACTGTTGTATTGGTATCCTGCTAGTTCTGTATCCAGTTTGTTCTTTTTACAGAGTACTTTTTATATGCCATGAACCTAGAAAATTTGCCTTTGATGTCATGGTTTAGCTGAAGTTTTCAAGCTCTCACTTCAGCAGTACTAACCTTCATCTACTTGAGATGAACTACAAACGTTTGCAATGTCTTATTTACAGCTCCCTGCAGGTAACTCTGAGCTCCTTCTGTGTGAACATGCAAAAGCCATAGTTTGACAGATTGTAGGATGACTTTTCTCGCGTGCAAATGTTCTGATGAAGGAGAAAAAGAGTACTTGTCAAATAGATACAATTTTATAGAAAAAGACTGAGAAATTAAGGCAAGAAAGGCAAAACTAAGCAAGGTCTGTTGTGGCAAGTAGCTGTTGTGCTATTGAAGGTTTGCTCTCTGGGACAGCCCCCATATATGCCTTTCACATAGCAGAGTTGACTGGGAAAATCCACATCTCTTTTTGTCTTCTCTGAAGAGAAGTTGGTAACAGGGAATGCTGGGTGTGACTTTTCCCCTGGATGCTGTGCTGGGGTCTGGCACAGTGAAAAGGCTTGGGCCTTTTTCTTCCATGTATGTTGAAAGATCCTGGCAGATTGTGGTTTCCCAAAGCTAAGGATTTGGGATGATTAAAGGTATTTAGGTATTTAAACATATAGAGAAATGCCTAATTGATTTCCAAAGTATCTAGTGGGAGTGAAGCACTTTTGAAGAACTCTATGGTTATCTGTGTGCCCTTTTAGGCATGTAATTTCACTGGGAAATCTGTTGCAAAATCACTACTACCTTCCTGCTGCAGGAGTAGCGACCATAGCGACCCCTGATTCCGTGCTTTGATTTATAAGCCGTAGACAGCCATAGACTGCTGTAATGCATTATTTTTTAATAATCCTGTGCATTTAAATAAAAAATTTGTGTGTTCAAGTATTGCTCTCCAAAGGAAAGGTCACATCCTAATTTTGGACTATTATGAAAAAGGGTTTGCATTTGCCTGAAAAATCAAATATAAGAAGACTGTGTTAACACCTTATAAATGCTGAACCAGTGAAGAGTGGCATAGTCGAGATTTTGAACATACTGTTATTAAAGCTAGCTGGTTCTTTTAATTAAGTTGTATGTAAGTGAATGAAGGAAAACATTTTCCATTACTTAAGACAGAGTATTGAAAACATATCTATTAACTTAGAGTATGACACCAGAAAGGCCGTGAAGGTCATCTAATTTTATCTACTACATGTCAGAAACAAACAATTGAAAACATTTTTCATTTTTCTTATGTTTACCAGAAGTTTGAATTCATTAAAAATTAATGCACCTTTTTTCTGAATGCATCCTTTTTTACCTTTTAATCTTTCAAAAGCTAAAGTTCTTTCTTGTGTTTGTAAAATATGTGCTTATTTGTACCTGTTTTTCTATTGTATTTGTTTTATATGTACATTTTATGACAGATTTATAAAATTGCAGAAACTTTCTCAATATCACTGTTTATTCAATGTATGTCAAACATAGAAGGGATTTAAAGGGAAGGTGAAATGTGCTACCTTCTCTATGATCCTATGGTGGCTGTTGGATCCATAGGGATGGCTTCTTGCAATAGTATCGATTCATGTGGGTGTAATCAGTGATGAACCCTGCCGTGGCTCAGTTCCTATATGCCTCGTCAATGAATTAAGGGCTAATTTAATGATTTTTTTCTTACACTATGATTGGATTACTTATACGTTTCCTCTTCCTGCTTTTTTTTCTCTGTTTCTTTCTCAAACAGGCATCACAACGGTGCTGACCATGACAACACTGAGTACAATTGCCAGAAAGTCACTCCCAAAGGTTTCCTATGTGACAGCAATGGACCTTTTTGTCTCAGTTTGTTTCATTTTTGTGTTTGCTGCCTTGATGGAATATGGCACCTTGCATTACTTTACCAGCAACAGGAAAGGGGACAAAGGAAAACAAAAGAAGGCAAAATCTAAGCCATCAGTAAGTTTAGTTGAACAAGAAAAAAAAAAAGGAAATACAGAATGCTTCTTGTTGCAGCATTCATTTTGGAGAGACTGGTTCTTGAGTAGAAAAGCTAACATTCAAAGATAATTAACACTAATATTTATTTTGTCATTTTTTTACAGTTGGGGGTTTGTACTTATTTTCTGTAAATACTACTAATGAGAAGGAGTTTTAGAACATTTCACTCTTATGTGAATGAGAACACATCAGCCTAAGATGGAGAGCGGTTTGATATAATACTCCATGCCCTTGTTGCTTCTAGAGCTGCCCATGGAGCTTGCGCCCATGGAGATGGTTCTGTCTGGGCACAGAGCTTCTAGAAACAGCACTTGGCAAAGAACCAGAGAAAAGACTGTAGCAGTAAAGATAATGTAAATGGACTGAAGGTGTGAGGATTTCTTTGGATCTGCATCACCTAACCTGGGTCTTAGAAAGGTTTGCAAAGGAAAAAATGCTTATTATTGGTCAGTATTCTGGCTTCCTCCCACTAGAGAAATTCTACCTTAACTCTTTTAAAAATTTGCTTCCATGTTTCTTTCTGGTTAAATGAACTTGCTGCTTTTACAAGCTGATGTTCATATGGTGTAAATCCCCACATGTCTCAGGATCAAGCATTATTCAGTTTTAAGAGGCTTTCTGTTTCTGCAGTAAGGATACTGGAATTTCCAAAGAATCTATTGTCAGGGGCTAGTACAAATATTTAAACTAAGAAAACATGGAGATAACTCCATTAAATAGCTTATCCATTTGAATGTTAGTCTTAATAGTCTTATATTGATTTTAGTCATTTTACAGAGAGAATAAGAACAAGGACAATGTTGTAAATCCCTCTTCCAGATCATTTCTATCAAAGCAAGCAGGAGCACAGATGAATCATAATACCAGTTGTCTTTTCTGGATGAAGGCCGAATACCACCTGTGTAAGATGAAGCAGAAATTGATATGAAATTACAGAAGCCCGGATATAGAAATACAAAACTCCTATTATGCTATATCCATTCTGCAACTGCTGTCAGGAAGAACTGGTGCACCCATTCTGAGCAGCACTGTTGTGGGAAACTGTCTTATGGGTGCTAGGGCTTAATGCCAGGGAAATGAGAGCCCTTAGGTTTCATATGGTGAGCTGATCGAAGTGGATTAGCTGTGTTTTTATGAAAAGGCTAGTGGTGAAGGGTTAATACTGCCCTGTGCTGCCTTGTTCAGACATTACTGTGGTCCTCAGGGAATCCAGCACAGACAAGAGAACTGGAAAATGGAAACCTCAAACCTCCTTCCTGTTAGTGGTACAAACAAATGTGAGCACAATGGAAGGGGCAGAACAGAGGCTTTGGCAAGGGCCACAGCTGAGCAATGATGGTAAAAGGTAACAGAGGCTGAAGAATGTGGGGGCTTCCCAGTGTTAGCACAGCAGATTCAATTTCAGGTTGCTGTTGCCATGAGGTCTCAACAACACTCAGTGAACACAATGCTGAATAGGTCTACTTTCAGCATGCACAACACAGAGAAGAGGAAGATGGAAGGAAGTATTGGTTTACCCAGATCAGGGAGATATTAAAGATCAGCTGCTGACAAATCAAAAGACTTTGAAGTAATCTGCAAGTATGCTCATTTGAATGGAGTAATGACACTTTCCACAATCTGTTCACACATCAGCCATTAGTGCAATAATCTGCCAAGTGCTTTGATATTTCCAGTGCATATGAAAATTTAAAATGTAGAGTTATGATGAGATAGAAACTATGAATGAATAAATAGCTGGAATTTGCACTAAGACTAAAATTAGCAACATAATGCTCAAAATACTGTTCATTTGTGGTTTACTGGGTTCCTAAAGCATACTTCTTATTTCTAAGTATTTGAAAAAAAAAATCTTTTCACACAGAATACTTTAAACATGTTCCAGCATGCTATGGCTACGAGACCATACTAGATACAGAAATTACACTAAAAAAAGAAAGAATTAAAGTTAATATACTTAGATGCAAGGATTCTAATTTGATAAATAGGGGGGTTTTGGTGATGTTTTATAAAAAGCCATAACATTTCTTGTTCCAAATAAAACAAATAAAGAAGCCGTCTGATTAGTTAATGAGAAGTCATACAATTACAAATCCTTTACTTATTTCTCCCTTCTTTACTTTTGTCAAAGACTTCTATTAATTATTTTTCTCCTGTAGTTTTGGGTTTGTAACTCAAAGAAACAATTTAATTTTAAAGGTCCATTTAATTTTGTTTGAAAAGTTCTCATTTACAGGTGTTTTTTCCTTGGAAAACTTGCCTTGTATAGATCTTCTATTTCTACTGCAAAATGCAATAAAAGTCTATTATTCTAGGAACTAATGCCAATAAGGCACAATAAATGATCTTGTGAAAAAAATGGTGAGATTTTACAAATGCTTACAGCAGTTTTATCTTAGAACATATGTGTTGGCATCATTCACGAAAGGTAGTATGAATTGGCTTATGCAAATCCACATTAGTAAAGATAATGAGTTTGGGCAGGAAATATTAAACTTAATTAGTTGTGGATCTTGTTCTGTTCATCATTTCAGCTGAAGTGAATGCATCACCTTAGCTGATCTCCACAGACAATAGCTTTCTTTTGTACATGTATTAGTGTTATTGCAGAATAATTGTGGTTTGATCCTATCAGACTGGATTATAAATTCTTGCCATGATACATGAAGTTTTATCTACAATGTCAGTAGACATGTACATAAAAAATCAGCATGTATTACTGTACCTACGTATTGTGGCTGTTTTGTTGGGTTTTTTTAAGTCTCTGCCAATAGATATAGAATCATTTTCGTGTGAGGTCTTTTTTCTTCTTTTCACTCGCATTACCTCTTCCTTACATGCATTTTATATATTTCTTCTAGGTAGTTAAGCCTATAACATGACTATGTCTGTCACTCTCAAGTTTCCTCTTCAAACCTGTAATTCAGTAGCCACCTTCAGTCTGTGCAGGTGACATGAGCAATGAAAAGCAGTACTGTAATTTTCTCCTTCTCCCACGGTGTTTCTGAGTTGGGGATTTCTGTTTTACCCCAGCTGTAGAAACAACTCATGCCATGAATCTTACATGGGCAGAACAAACAGTCAAAAAATTCTTGTAATGCCAGAGTAGGTGTGAATCAGAAATAAGCATCTTTCCCTATTTATCTTCAATAGAATAATAATTTTTTTTCAGTTAAAAAAAATTCAACTTTTTATATTTTATAAAAGTAAGCCCTGTTTGCAATACCTAAAATTAGAATAGAAGTGTATAACTCCTGTTTGTTAGCATTGTCAGTATTAGTGTATAACTCCTGTTTGTTAGCATTGTCAGTATTTTATCATAACTGAAAAGAATAATGAGGTCCTTTAGGACGATAATTAGTTCCCTAGGTCATCATGTCTAATAAGTATTGAAGCAGCAGTCTGTGTGAAATTTTCTTTTAAAGACACTTATTTAATAATGCTGTTTGGTAAAATGCCCATGCAGTAATAGAATGCCTCCTTAACAATGTATAGAGATCTGTGTACTGGCCAAAGCAATTCCCATGAAGTGGGACAGCAGATATGAAGTGTATCAAGAAGCTAAATTATGTGGCTTCCCACTTTTCATATTTCTTCTATAGATTTGCATTGCCTTTCATGTGTAATTGGTTAAGAGAACTTATTCTTTACACTTAAATACCCAGTTAGATCTTCTCTCTGCATCCTTTCCTGCTGTATTTATTCTTACATGACAAAATATGAAGATGGTAGAAAAGAGAAAGGTGGGGTAAGAGTAATGTTATTGTGACCCCTCTCTTTGGTCTGAAGATTTTAGAAGACATACCAAAGATGGGGCAGGGAAAGGGGGAGGAAAGTTGAAAGGAAGAGGATTATGGAGTAGCTTGAAAAGGCCATGAGATTTAGAAAGAGGAAAGAAAAGGATAGAGAAAGAGAGTGCCTTCTGAAACATTCAGGAAAACACGGATGATAAGTAAAGAACCATGTAGAAACAAAATAATAAAAGAGGGAAAGGAAGATTGTGTTAGTGGAGGTAAAAGGAAGATGAAAAGGCAAAAGTCACAAGAAAGGGAATAGCAAACACTGTATGTACTTGGTAATAAGGCACTCAAATTTTTTTCTATGAGCATTATTAGCATCTATTACACTGTTTTTGTCAGATTGCAAGAGGGTTGTTGTGCCCACAGAAAAATGAAAGTAAGAATTAAGAGCTGAACTAATCAGTTTCAGTGACTTGAGTGGCATTCTCCTAAGGACTTGTGTCTTGGATTATAAAGGTGGGGGAATATTGTTTAAGGATGTAACATCAGAGGATTAGATGGCATAGCCTTATGTGTTTCAGTCTGTTAAACTTCACCACTGGTGCTGTACCTATCCCATTAGCTTTTTTCTGGTTTTGAAATGTTTTCCAAACGTTCCAAATGATAGAAGGACCATCATTCCTTTGGTAGTGATGATTATAGATAGCTTGTGGACTTGGTTGTGACCCAATTGTCAAGCAGTGACTGACTTCAAAATGTTTGTCTGTGTTGTATAGATGGGATCAACTAACTCTGTCTATGTAACTAATTATCTACTATTCCCAAATTACAGCACAACCCAGTTTTCACTGTGGCAGGTGAAAATCATTCATGATCTTTTGCCTTCATGAACTAATTATATACAGCAGTTCATAATTTGCTGTTTTCTTTAATATTAGAATTTCTGTATATTAGAATTTCTGTATATTGTACTGAGCATGATTATGATGCTGTGGAAAGCCTATGGAATTATTTAATATGAGGATAAAAATGCACAAAACTGTATTTTTCTTTTTTTTTTCTTAAGAAACCACCTGCAATCGCTGTTCGACCTGGATCAACACTAATTCCAATTAATAACATTAATCATCTCCCTGAACGTGATGATGATTATGGATATGAGTGCCTTGAAGGAAAAGACTGTGCTAGCTTCTTTTGTTGTTTTGAAGACTGCCGCACAGGATCTTGGCGAGAAGGAAGAATACACATCCGTATTGCAAAAATTGACTCCTATTCTCGAATATTCTTTCCTACTGCCTTTGCATTATTCAATCTTGTTTATTGGATTGGCTATCTTTATCTATAAATTTCAGATTTGACAAACTCAGAAAAAAATTCTAATTGAACAGTCATTAATACTTTCAACTGAGCAATCAAAGATTAGAGTTGGTCCAAAATTACTTAAATTGTAATGCTTTAAAAATTTGAAACAATGAGAGGAAATATGATGATGTAGTCTCCCTCTTGTGATCAACTATAGAACTGATAGTGGTATTTTGAAGAGAAAATTTAAAAATAAGATTTATCTTTCCTTAACACACATGCACACAGTTTTTTCCAGCTCTAAGAAAATGCAGAGTCAAGGGGCTATGTTATTTAACTGGACAGTTCTACGTAAGCTTTCAGTTTTAATCCTTAATGATAATGCAGAAGGATTTTTGTAGCATCTCACACCTTTACAAAGAAAGCCTTAATAAAGTGAGATTAGTTAGTCTCATCCATTTAATCCATAAGGTGATGATTTTATTAATCCCTGATTTTAAAAAGTTGAAATGTAACATTTCCCTTTTCAATCTGCAGTATTTTAAAAAGCATGATTAAGTCATAATTAATCAATTCAGATTTATACAGAATGCAAATGTTAGAGCAGCAAGAAATGGATATATCAAAACACCCAAGGGTAATTCTGAGCTTGTCTTATCCTGACTATTGATAGAGGCTTTTGGCTTTCAGCCTTAGATTACGTTTATGTCTGTGCTTAATCTCCTGTTACTTCACTGTTGTGAGTTCCCGGAAGTTGTCCAAGAGGGCTACAACTTTCAAAAATTCTTACCCAGCTACCATTGCTTACTCATTTCATGGAAAAGAGACTGGGGTTGGCTGAGATTCTGAGCATTAAACGCAGCACTCTTCACATCCTCTCATTTGTCTGATTCATACTCAGTGCCAGAGAAAAATGCATACCTCTACTTTTGGCAGAATTTGTATCAGCAGAGTTTGGAAAACCTGTAACAGCGTTGTAGTCACTGTACTCAAAGCCACTGTGTTAAATCTCCAGCCCTGAGAGTGTAGTGTATGATCTGCTCCACTGTGCATGGAGTATGATTTTGTAGATTCTGTTTGTTACTGCATATGCTGCTCACTGAGCCAAAGCCAAGTGGTATTAATTTACTGAGCCTGTGGTATGGATTGCTGGGTAATTACCTTCTTGGTATTAGTTTGTTTCTAATGGATAAGTCATGTTATGGAGAGGGAGTTAAAATATCCTTATTCATTGCAGATCCTTCTCCAACAATGCATCCCCCCCCAAAATCATAGGACCAGTTCTTCATCCTTTCTGTCAGAGCTTTTCATCACTTTGGTAGCAATTCTTCAGTATTAGTCTTTCTGGACTGTTTTCTCTTTGTTGACTGTTGCTGACTTGGCAGCATTTGGTATCTCATTTCTATTTCTAAATCCATTGTCTTCATTATGGAAAAGTGCAGTCTTTCCTCCATTCTCGAAACCAGTCTCAAGTGAGCTTGCAAAACCACTGTAAAATGAAGATATGCATTAACTAAAAGTCAGCATTACACCGAAGACCTTACAGATCTTTAAAGAGGATTAATGGGATTAGCATTTGGCTGTAGGTAAGAATGTTCAGTACTAAAGATAAAGACATGATTAATAGCTAAGAATAGAAAATGTTACATGAAAAACCCACTCCCAATATTTCTGTTAAATGTGCTCCTTCCTCTGAATTTCTCAGAAAAGATTAATGTATATTTATATTCTAGTTTGTACCAGGCGTAATAAGATATGATATGCAATACGCATTTCAAAGGAAATGCTACTGTGGTGTTCAGCCCCAAAGTATAACAGAAAATGCAAGACTGTGCAGTCATACTGAAAAGAAGTGTGAAAGAAGATCCAATTTTAATGAAAACTTTATTTCGGTATTTAGCTGATGAAATATAGGAGTGGTTGAGAGAATCTGAAGGCCCACTGTCAAGGATGGCTGACATTGTTTGTTGTGTGACATTTCCGAGTACTGACTTCTGACTGGTAGACTAAGCATAGCAATGTGGCATGATTATCAGCTCTGATTTGCTATAATTTATTGGTTTTTAGAGTCTCACTTCCAGAAAATGGTCAGTCCAATGGAAACATGTCAGTTTTAATTCAATAATGTAATTTGATGCTTTTTGACAGCACATTAAACACATTCTTCTGTAGGAGGTATGAAGGTGGCGTCAGCAGCATGTTGGATGTGTACTTGAAAAGTAGTCAGCTTGCTACACAATACAAGATATAAATTTTGTGAGCCCCTGAGTTTCATTAATTCACCTTTAAACAAAAGAAACTTGAAAGAACTTGGCACTTCACAAGAGGAAATACAAATTTCACAGCCTGCTCTCCTCTGGCACATCTAGTTAGCTTTTTCTATTCATGTGGTTGTCAGTTGCCAATCAGCCTCCAGTGACTGAATTGGAGAACAGAAAACATCCAGAATTGGCAAGGGATGGATGAGAAGCCTTTCATCTCCAATTTCTATGAAACAATGTAATGGAGTATTAAACCTATTGAATGTTATGGCTGTTTGGCTTATGGATACACTTGCTTCTGTCTGTTGACAAACTTTTCTGTGTACTTCATTTGTTTCTGATGAAATAATTTTAGTTTCCCATTGTATTGTGAGTGCAAATAGAAACGGAATGTAGTGACCTGTAACATGGCATGTAATAAATGTGTTATTTTAGTCCTATGTGTTTTCTTTCTAATCTGCATGTAAGCACTTGATTCCCAGAAATCTAAGTGATACTCAAAGAAATGGCAAGGAACAGACAGTATAATTACTTGTACCTAGATGCTGCAGTCATTTTTCAAACTTACGCAGATAAAAGTTTGTTTACTGTTGCTGGGATCACAATATTTTGGAGTCATATTATTCTGACCATCATTACATAAGCACATGCTTAAACCTAGTCCTAGTCAGTACTGTTATTAGACCAGAATTCAGAAAAGTGAGTGCTTATGCACTGTCATAAATAGTGATGCTATCATGAATTCAGGCCATTAACACATGCTTAATTTGCACTAATTTCAATAACGAGTGTTCAGTAGCTTAAGTAATTGAACACTAAGGATGTGAGCCAGAGCCTTTTTCAGTAAGAGATTTCTCACTGAAAGAGGGGGGCTTAAGAGGAGAAATTGCCATAAAGGTAGAGAGGCGAAAAATTCTGGGGAAGCTGTTTTATACTACACCTATTGTAGGCATTTCTTGAAATGTATTTTTCAAAAAAGAGACTTTTCCTTGATATTTCTGTATTAGTGTTTACCACTTGTCTGTTTTAGTAGTGAGTACAGATCAATGTGTTATTTTTTGGTAGGGTTCTGTCTATGATTGTACCTCACTGATCTTCAGTGCATGTCTTTTGTGTCTGAATGAATCTGTTTTATGTAGTGGCACTGCAACCAAAGCATGAGCTCTGGGTAACGCATTTTATATTCACATGTTGATATGCTTCAAAGACTTTAACCTTATCCAATTTTCTGACATTCAAAGATATGGGATTGTGTAAGACTTTGAAGGAGAATCACCTCCAACATGGTTTTTATAATTTTCTGTTGTTTATCTGGTATGATAGTAAAAACAGTTGTTTAAAATTGATATATGAAGTGTGCTTTGTAATTTGTGAACACCTTTAACCTTACAATTGAAAATCCAACAGGAGGAGTCTGGATTTAAATATCTATTTGCCTAAAGTAAAACATGTTTTCTCAATTGTATTGGTCATCATTTCAGTTTACTGTTTCCAAATAGCTGAGAACTAGGGCAAATAAATTTAAAAAAAAAATTGGTTGTTAATGTAATTATACATAAGTTATACATTAAATATGATCTTTTATGTTTGTGAACTAATACTGTTTTTTTTAGTCATTATAATAGATACAGAAAATAGAAACTAATGTCGAATTCCTCAGCTGAAAAACAAAAAGCCAGGAACTAGAAATAATTACTGTGCTTTCATTCCTGAAAAAGCTCAGTGGATGTCCACATGCCCCAATGAAGGTGCTGACAGGGGGGAGAGACTGACTTAAATGAAGAGGTAGAATAGTCTCCAGGCTGTAGAAAAGGCCTTGCATTGGTTCATGCCATAGATTTGCTACCCAAGTGGTTCAAATTGAGGAAAGTGATCTCTGGCTTCTGATTCATTTCTATCAGAAACAGTAGTTCTAATGCTGTTACCAGATGAATCAAAACCTGAAAAATCATCTTAGTAAGTTAGTGTTTCAGCCAGATTGGTGGGATCATCTGACTGAAACTGCAAGACTATGATGAAATTTTGCTCCAAGACAGGTGATGGGAGCTTGCAGCTAGAGGGAAAAGGATGCCTTCTTATGATAGGCATATTTCATTCAGCTGAAAATCTGCTCTGAAAACTGGTGAGGAAGAAAGGAAAAGATGGGATGAGGTAAAGATTGATGGTGGCAGTGATCCCAGAATCAAGTTGCATGGAACCGAGTAAGTTATATTTAGTTAATAAATTTCTCAGTGGAATTTGTGATAATGCTCTTGATTTCCCTGAAATATAATTTAGTACTTTTAATATTAAAAAAAAGAAGAAAATACTATGCATTTCCTATACATTAATTACAGACTGAATGAGCAATAAAAAGTTGTCTTTAGTGATCATAATGTCAGACAGAAAAACAGAGATCAGGTTAGATCAGCAAAAGGTCATCTTTTTTCCTCCTTTTTTTTATTAATGATAAACTATTTTTAAAATTAGGGAGTACTAATTCTCAGAAAGGCCTAGTACCCAGATGTCTACACTGGTGTAAGTCCCTTTGAGGGCTACAAAAATTTGCGAATGGAAACTTGTCTCAGACTGCTTTCAGTCATTGAATCAGAGAGTGGGTAAGGTGGATTATGATCATGCCAGGCATGAACTAGGATAGCTGGTGTACCCCAGGGAGGTTGGTAATAGTTTCTTGTTAAAAGGGTGATTTCTGCCTGAAAGACTATAATTTGAAACAGGGTATGTGCTTCCCTTCAGAAGATGGATCTGTGCTGTTATTTCCAGAATGATGGAAAAGCATCCCTGTCCTTAATGTTTGTCTTTGCACAGGAACAGATTCATTGAGATGATTGTCCTGCTATGAAGCTCTGAGGTATTCCCCATGTAGAGTATAGGAGAAGAGTTTTGGTTGCACTCCTGGGCAAGGTCTCTAAATCGTGTCATAAGGCTCAGTATTGTGGTTCTTGAGCTGGCTTTTGGATCCGTTACAATGCTAGTGAAAAGTCAATAAATAATAAACTTTTGATTTTACTTACTGGTAAATCTCACTGAGAAAGCCAGAGAACTAACAAAGGCTTTAGAGGAAATCTTAGGAGACAGGAGAGTGGCTAAAAGTGAAATAGGCCAAAGGATATAGCCCTTTTTACCACAGATGGGTTTTGTTCACTAGCAATATATTGTTTCTAAAAAAAGTGTAAAAGCTTCATGGTATTTTAAGGGGGAAAAAAGATATGTAAAATTCTCATTCCCCTTCCCACTGACAAAACGTGCTTTGCCGGCAGATTTTGCTTATGGTGCATCAACATCACTTGAGCTGTGTGAGGAGAGCTATGGGGATGTAAGACAGAAGACCTGTAAACTGTTCTACCTTGTTCTTTCTCAGTTCCTTTTCTTAGTCAAGAAAAAAGAGGTTCAGAAGAGTAGGTGTGTGGCATGTGTAAATGAGGACAATTTTGCTACTGACAACAGAGGATGAGTCCCACTATCTGACAGAACTGAGAGGGACAAAACTCTGCTTGCAGTAATAAGGCTTCTCTTTTGTAATTCTTTGTAGAAACTACTTTTCCATGCATCGCTGCATGCCTACCTGAGACTCAAAAATGTTTCAGGTTGGAAGCAATTCTTTTATGTGTTTCTGGCTTCACAGCATGATCTTTACCATAAGAGTTTGAGCCTTGCTGAATTCAAAAAGAAAGGTTTCTTCTTGAAGTTTCCTTGTCCAGGCATTGCAGGTAGGAGATGTCTTGCTGCCAAACATTGGAAAAGTGATTTTCAGTTGATCCTGCTGAAAAGACACTGTAGGGTGGCATTGGGATTCCTTCGTCATTTAGACTTCAGAAGGTTAAATTCTGTTAACAGCAATGACCAGTACTGCCTGAACAGAAGATAAATTACTTTTGCCAATTAAATATTTATAAACAAACCCCAAAACTGTCACTGTGGGTAGGAAATGAGAATGAGTCATTATTTCACTTCAGGTATATATTTCCCCTTGAATTGTTTTTCCTCCTTAGGAAGATGGTATATAGGAGTCTTTTGGCTTGTGAAATACATAGAAAATAGATGATGGTAACTTTAAACAGGCAAAGTCATGTTAGTCCTGCTGCCTCCTGATGACATAGGAGTAGTAACAATGAAGGCACTTGCCCTAGGGCTCAGATTTTCCAAGACAGATAAATGTGGACATTTGTATATTCATAGGCCCAGTATTAGTATACAATCTATGTTCATGTTTTAGTCATTAAAAAAAACTTTAATGATTTTTGCATCTTCACAGTATCTTTTATATTTCTCACTCTTGTCCACTGTGAATGCTTAGACATTTTGTCTGAACATGAAAGGTTACGTCATTTTACCTTTAAATACAGTTTCAATTGCTATAAAATATAAATACTTCCTTAAATGAAAATGAGGGATCAGAATCTGGGAACCTCATGGTGATTCTTATGCTGAAAAATCTAATATTTATTTTTAATTACCATTTCAATTAAACAAATAATGCTGCTATAGTTTGTATTCTCCTTCATTGGCATTTTATAAACAATTAAAATTCATAGTCTAAACCCAGAATTTAGAGAAATATCCTTCAAAAATAACACTCGTTGATTTGTTGTCTCTCAGTATTTATTATATTGAGTTTCCAGTATTCAAATACACTCCTAATGCAAATCTCTGTCTTGGCATCTACAGTTCACATAGTGTTTCACTGACTCAGACTTTGCCCCTTACTAGTACATTTTTTTTTTCATTATTCAGTATTTAAAAAAATGCTGGTATTTTTAACTGCCTAAGTAAACATTCATGCAATGCATTTAATTTGATAGTGTTTTGGCACCAGTGGACAATGTTGCAATATTATGCATCAGTGTTCCTTTTGAAGTTATTTATTAATGCCCTTGTGGATAACTTACTGCAAGAAATACAGAACATTAAGATAAGTCTTGTAACTCTCTGTGCAGCTTCTAAGGTTTATATATAAAATACATGATATTGATGCAAATTTATTCTTCCATTTCAGTTTTACTTCCAGAAACCTCCTCAACTGGGCTAATATTATTATTATAAGTGTGCTGATATTTACAGTTCTACTCAGTTATTTGGTACTTTTCCAATAGCCTTGGAATGTAGCCATCCATTATTATATTCAATTACCTAGAAACAGCAAGGTATCCTCACAGGATTTTAATGTGATTAAGCCATGACTTCTTCAGCCTCTCCTAAAATACAATCTTTTGTGTGCAGTACCAAAACTAAAGCATTTTTAGGTATCAAATTGATTGTTACCTGCTTCTCAGTTTTGACAGTATCTGTGTACTTGGTTAGAGTGAAACACTGATATGAACATTTTTATATTTGTCAACAATATTAATGAGCATGACTGAACCAGAAGACTTCAGAGGTAATAAACAGATGATGTTCTTGGCTAAATCCTACATATATAAGACTTTGTGAGTGT